TTTGATTCCCAGCACCACAAAACAAAAGCAAGTTGGCTGCACTGGGTGTGATGACACATGCCTGTAACCCAAGCACAGAGCGCTGAGGCAGCGAAGTTCCCAGCATGGCCTACGTGGGGAGACCCTGTCTCCAAACAAAACCGAAATGCTGGCTTTGACCCCACTGATCAAAGCGCAGACTACAGGCCTATTTCGCTTTTCCCTCAAGGACTGCAGCCCGTGGATTACATCACAACATCAAGGCTGTGCCCAAGATGGAGAGGACGCCAGCCTCGCTTGAGTAGCTGAAGGGAACAAGAAACACACGCACAGAGCCAGGTGTGGCGGCGTGTGCCTGAAATCCTAGCACTTGAAAGGATGAGGGAGGAGGACTGCAAATGTGAGGCTGGCCTGGGCTGCACAGGGAGACCTCCCCACACAAAAGAAAAGAGAAACTTGCTTTTCAGCCAGAACTACCATCTTCCAGTAATCTGTCAAAATTACAGAACACAAAGGGAAAGAGAAGGCCCAGAGAGATAGCTCAGCAGAGTAAGCACCTGCTTAGGAAAGCGCCCAGAGACCCAGGTTCAATCCCCGGCACCTCATGCGGAACTGGGTCTGCACCCCCAGGTAGCTGAGCTGGCCACCGAGACCATGCGTGGTGGTACACGGCTATAATCCCAGCGATGGGGAGGCCAAAAACGGGAGGATCACTAGGAGTCCAGGCTGTAGTGAGACCTTATACTACATATATTAAAAAAAAAAAAAAAAAGGAAAAGAGGAGGGGAACCTGGTTGGTATATGTAGAAAACATGGTTGTTCCTCTGGCCACACACAAGCCGATGTGCAGAAAGGGTGATGCAGACATCAAGGGAGTGGGTACTGTGCAAAGGAGCACTTCACAAATGTCACCATGGCAAACGTGGACAGGCCTACAGCATCACCCACCACACTGCTGGCATTGTGGTAAACAAGCAAGTTAGAGGCAAGGTACTTGCCAGAGGATTAATGTGCAGGCTGAGCATATGAAACACTCCAAGAGCAAGACAGCTTCCTCAAACGTGTCAAGGAAAATGATCTGAGAAACAAGGCCGAAGAGAAAGGTACCTGGGTTCAAGTGCACCCCAGCCGGCCCTGCCCAAAGCAGCACACTGTGTGAGAACCAACGGGAAGGGCCCGAGCTGCTGGAACCTATTTCTTAGGAATTCATGGCATAAGCTGGGGACGGAGCTCCGCCATTCAGCACCTAATGAGCAGCCAAGTGTTCCGGGCCCCACTTAAAAATAAAAATCGTCCTGTGTTGTAAGAATGCTTTTATTATTATTTTTACTTTTATGTATTTAGTACAGGGTCTTCAGAGTCTAAGTAGATCGGACTCCTGCCAGGATTACAGGCGCGCCACTACTCAGTCTCAATCACCATCTCGGCGCTGGGGGTGGGGTGGGGGGCAGGATGGAACCCCTGGTGGCTGTGCTCTGCCTAAGCAGGTGCTTTAGTCTACTGAGCCGTCCAGCTGACCCATGGATGGCTTTCTTAATTGAACAGGTATGCGGTGCCTTTACCTCAGAGAAACAAATATTTGGAGCAGATTCTCATTGTACCTGGTTAACTGTGTTAGGTCTTTCTTTGTGTTTTTCTTGCTGAAAAATGGGAGATACTGTGAGGGTATACACCCAAATAGCCAAATATCTTTGAAATATTGGCTTGAAGATCCAATGGGGAAAAGACACAGGAAAATAAATGGAAGTCAGTGGATGGCATTTCAGTTCAATAAACTGTTTAAAGCACTGAGAAGGAAACTCATAACTTTTTTTTTTTTTTTTTTTTGTGGAACTGGGGATTGAACTCAGACCCTTACTCTTGTCAGGCAATCGCTTATTCTACTGAGTTATCTCCCCGGCCTCTCATAAAAGTTTTAAAGGGTTAACTTGCTTCAGAATGAGTCAGTGGGATCAGTGGAATTAGCTCTCTGTGGAAAGGCTTGAGCAATCTGGTGACCCTACCCTCTGTTCTTCCCCACCTGAGACACTTCAGAAAACTGACATCTACGTGCGGCTCTTACCTCACCCAGGCCATTGGGGACCTGACCATGGGAGGGGCATGGGGGAGGATGCCCGCTTTATTCTCCCTGTCCTCGGTGGGGTGTCATGACAAAGAGTCGGCAGAGAAGTCACCTGGATCCCTCTGGGACACACCTGGGGCTCACCTAGCACAGGAGAGAGACCACAGATTAATGGACACCTTCCAGCCACAACTCCAACTGTCAGTAAAACTGACCTGGTCACCACCCATCCTCCCAGGACATCTATTCTGGGCTCAACAATGAAGAAAGATCATGGACAAAGGGGCCACAGATTTCAAGCCCCTCACCAGCCCCCCAGTATCAATGACTTTGAAGTTCACAAGAGCCCAAGATGTACCAAGTCATCTTTAGATCTTTTCTGAATCCTGTTACAAGCAACACTCAAACCACCACCCTATCTTTGCAGAGAATTTTAGCTCTACAAGGTGCTTCCTCAGTAGGACACGGGAATGCACCAGAAATTCAGAACACCAATATTCCTGTTCGTTTTTGTGTGAAACAGGGTCTCCCTCTGTAGGTCAGACTGGCCTTGAACTCCCAGTGATCCTCCTGTCTCAGCATCCCATGTGGTGAAATTACATGTGTGGGCCTCCATGCCTGGCTAGACACCAATATTCTACTCCATGTTGTTGCTCCTTAGCATCTGGGAGATTCTAGATAGGCAATCGCTCCCACCACCCTCGATTCCTACCATAAGGCCTTAGTTTTTAAGGGAAACATCTGCAAACTGTGAAGCTTCTAGCTGAAATAACTTTCGAGAGGTAGGTAAGTAAGAGCAAAGTTACAAAAAGAGTTTCCTCTTTCAGGACTGGCTCTTTCAATCTTTTCCCCATGCTTGGAGAGGCCCAATTTTAACATGAACATTAGCAACAAGTCAACACTTCCAGTATACCAGTCAACTCAGGGGAGCTCTGGAGATCCTTTTAAAAAATCCCACTTTCTGCTCTGGAAAAATAGTTCTAAGAAGATCCTGGTACCCTTTGTCCTTACACAACTCCCAAGTAAAAGGACCCCCACCCTCGTGGTCTGACTTGTTCTTCAGAAAGAGCAGGCTGAAGGAACTGTGTACAGACTCAAGTCAGGTGCCTGGGAAAATACTGGGGCTTAAGTTGTGTGGCAGCGAGGTGCGAAGCCAGAGCTACTGGGCACAGGCTTGGGGAGGGGTTATTTGTCCTGTCTCCATCTCTCTTTCTGTAAGGTATGGGGACACGTCATCACATCACCCATCCAGGATTCCACTGGACAAGAGGTTGGAATGAGGCTGATCTGAGGTAGGTATGAACTGCGGACAGAAGGTACAGACCCTCGGAGGGTCTGAAAACGTGTAATGTAAGATGGCCTAGGGGGAGGAACATGGGTAAGAATTTTGTATTCAGGCATGGTGCAAAGGCAACGGTGGGGGAGGGTAGTTGAGCAGGGACCCAAGGAATTCCAGGATGGAGGGAGCACTGCGAGGCACCCCAAAGACTGGTGGGTGGTTGTGGGCGTTCCAGGTCCGTGGAGTGACAGGATGCGGGGGCTCCGGGGTGGGGGAGGGTGGGGCCTGGGTGGAGAAGCTGCTCGGGTTCAGGGCTATGGGAGGGTGGGGTCTGGATGCTCTCAGGGAAAACCGGGAGGTCAGGGCCCCGCGTCCAGCCTGAATCCCCGCCCCCAGCCCCGGGGCTCCGCCGCCCACCAGCTTGGTCTTCCTAGGGAAGGAGCAGAGACTGCAGAGCGGCGCGACTCGGTCTCAATGGAGCTGCCTCGTCCCCGCCCGCCGCGCCCCGACTCACATCGCCCCGCAGCCCGGGCGGCGCCGGGCCCCGCTCCCGGGTCCCGCTGCAGCAGCCGCCGCCCGCCCGGAGCTGAGGCCTCCCCGCCCCGCCCCCGAAGGCCACGAGGTCGGAGGTCACCGGCAGCACCAACGAGACGCTGCGGGCGGGCGAACCCAAGCGGGGGCGGACGGCGCGCAGCCTAGAAGGTCCCCTTGGAGGACTTTGCAGTCGGGCACAGGGAGCATGCGCAGACGCCAGAGGGCGCTCTGGGCCAGTGGCTGGGACTCCTGGCGGGAGGGGGTGGGGCGGGGCTCGGTGGAGGGGCGGGGCTCCTGTGCGGCGGGCCTTCTGGGGGCGGGGCTGAGGGACTGAGGTTTGGGCATTCCAGGAGCCGAAAGGAAACTCGAAGCTTAAGGGAGAGGGTCTAGGGGAAAGAGAAGAGGGCAGGACCAAGATCTCAGGGTGGACTGAGGAAAGGTGCCCCTGAGGAGAAGGGACAAACAACCCGGGGCGAGTCTGTCCGAAAACCCACGGACAGAACGCAAGGCTGCGGGGACCCAGCGCCCCCTCGCTCCCTCCGCTAGACCCGCAGCTGGACCGAACCTGGAGGACGCGAGACCACGCCGCATCCCCGCCGCCAGGTGCGCCCCGTGCAGTCCGGGAAGACGTGGGCTCCGGGGACCGTGCTCCTCTCGCCCATCTCTCCGGCTGTCCCGGGAAACCTTCCCGTTTCTCAGTCTCCAGGCACCCGGGCCGCTGGGGGGAGGGGACGCGCCCCAGAGTTTGGGGTGGAGGGTTCTGCGGTCTGGCAAGGGGGAAGGAGTGGGGGAGCGGTTGGGCAGGTTAGTAAGGTGGAGGTGGAGTTAAATGAAGGGCTGGAGGGCTGATCCCAGACCTACAAACTGCAGTTGACCTGGGAGAGGGTGCCGGTCCTCTCCAGGTCACGGACTCCAGGTCACCTGTCTTTATTTGCTGCCTGAGCAGGGACCGAGATGTTAGAGGAAGTGGCTGCTCTTGACCCTGAGGGTGAACAGTCCTTTCTGGCCACCTTCCACAGGAAACCTGACCTGGGGACAGGAAGGAAGCAGGTGGGTGTGGGGCCAGGAAGGAGGAAGGGTGGCACAGGACCTCTGAAGGAAGGGTGGTGAGGGTGTGGGCCTGGGAAGCACCTTAACTGTTAGGGGCCCAACTTCTGAGGCCTCCGCCTAAAGCTTTCCGGTGTGATCTTGGGTGTGTTAATTAATCGGGTTCAACTGTAAAATGGGATAATGGAAACTATTTCACAGGATTATTCTAAGAAGGAACCATATTATGTAAGACTCTTTAGAATAGTCTCTGGCACTGAGTAAACAAGTTTGTTGTGCTTACTTTTCCCTAAAAGTGTGCATCTGCCCAGAGCTCGGCTTTGTCCTGTCTGGTTCATTCCGTCTCCTGGAGTGCACAGCTCACCTCTTCTCTATTCTGGCAGGCACTGACCATTCCCAGGATACTGTGATCCCACCAGGATTTCAGGGCAGGAAAACTTTAGAAACCAGGATTATCTTGTGAAGTTGCACTGTGGGGGCTGAGGAGCAGCATTTGTCTAACATGTGCATGGTCCTGGGCTTAATTCTCAGCATAGCGAAAGAGAAAAAAAAATGCTTTTCTTGATAGAACCCACAACTTTTCTGTCCTTGGAAAGCTTGTGAAATAGGAGAGGAACTGAGAGATGCAGAGAGCAAAGGGAAAGTGGTGTGAGATCTTGGGCACCCAGTATTACTGGGGAGCTAGCTCAAGGGAACCAAAACTGGTGTGGGTCAGGTAGGCTGCAGAGGCTCTTGGGGTGAGGGGCTCCTCAGCCAGCCCCAACCCGCAGAGCTGTAAATGAGGCCTGCTATAGGAGTAGGGGAGGAGCGGCCTCACAGGGACAGGGTGTACAGAGCAATGGTGGCTTCCAGGGTGAAGGATGGTAAGGTAAGGAGGAAAGGTAGCCTCCTTAGTCTCACCAGAAAGGCAAAATGCCTACCAAGTGTGAGGTCCTGCGTTCAATTGCTAGTACAAAGAAAAAAAAAAAATCCATATTGAAAGGCAAGATGTCCAAGCCATCTCTCCCTCTGACCCAATCACAGGAGACCCCAGACTCTAAACTTTAGGAACTAAGCTAAGAGGCCCAGCCTTGACTCTGGCTCTGCCACTTACTGTTTGACCTTGGTTTTGCCATTTGTGCTCATGGATCCTCAGTTTGGCCATCTGTAAAACAGGGACAATGGCCCTTAAGTCCTCTGGCTGTTAGCAGGACCGAGATTACACTGTAAAGTACTTAGCAATACCTAGCACACTGTGAGGTCCAGTGCATGCAGGTGTTCATACTATTCCAGGGAAGACTTTGCCCTCAGTGTCACTGTTCAAATCTGGCTGGCCCAACCCAGAGGACAGTCATATCTCCAGGGGGCCAGGGTCACCAATCCACTCTGACTCAGGAGAGCTGCCAGAGGACGACCCCGCAGACATCTCAGGTAGTAAGAGTACTGCCCTTCCTGAGACCACTGTGCCTTCTGGCCTGCCTCCCTTTCCCACCTGGGAAGTGGTTTGCCTTGTACCCAAGTTCTTGTGGCCGTCTTCAGGACTTCCTGTTTCTACCACACCTCAAAATATGGGGCTTTGGCTTTGGCCTCATTCATATGAATCCATTTTACCTCTCCCACGTGGTTTTTGTGGCTAAAGTAAATGGAGGGGCTTTGGCTTCAGGACAGCAGGTGGGTCAGGTTTTGGGGTTCTCTCCAAGGGTGCCACAGATGCACAAGTCCACCTGCTGCCCTTGAGCTCAGTGAGGATCTCTGAAGGGCTACCGTATCCACTGTCTAAGCAGAGGCTCCAAGAAGTTGCTCTAGATTAGACTAGAGGGTGGCAATGGAGGAAAGGAGGGAAACCATAGCTCCTCTTCCCCTTCTGCCATCTCTCTGCAGGATCCTGCAGCTCCCAGCATGTACCCACCTTGCCAGGACACCAGCCGCTCCCCCAACTGGCCTGGGGTTTGGACCCTCCTGCAGCAGCTCCCTCCACAGGACAGCGATGTGGGCCTCCCTGCCCAGCTTCCCTCTGTCCCTCTTTATTTACAAAAGGAAGGGCCTTGGTCCCAGTCAGGTGACATGGATTTAAGGCTCAGCTCTGCCACTAGCTGGGGGGATACCACCCATCCAGGCCGAAGACTCACATCTATAGTGATCCCAGTAGCATCTGCTCTGCCTATCATTTACTTCTTGAGCCAATGAGAAATGGACATGGAGGATTTGGTATCAATAATGGAATGGACAAATGTAGAACACGGTTGCTTCATATTTATTGAGGCCCTGTGTGTCCCAGCCTAAAGGCAAACAGTTTAAAGGGGAGGAAGACGGGAGCATGACGGATCAGTAGCGAAAACACCTAGGCAGAAAGTGGTGGGGCAGTACAGTGGGCTTTCAGGACTTCTAGGGACAGTGGGGGAGACTGAAGTGGACCTTACTGCACCCCTCCCGTGTCTATGCTGTTCTCTCCTGGGCTCCCACCACCTTTCCACCCAGCACCTAAGCCTTTCAGGATTCTCCAGCCAACCCTCCCCACCTTCCTCGTGGGGCTGTCCCCACCATGGGCCTCTTTCTGCAGGAGCGCTACTGCCTGGCCCTCGGGGAGGAGGAGCTGGCTGAGCTGCGGCTCTTCTGTGCCCAGCGGAAGAAGGCCCTGGGACAGGGGGTGGCCCACCTGGTACCTCCAGAGCTTGAAGGACACACCTGTGAGAAGGTGTGTAGTCCTTTCTCCTGCAAGCCTGCCCTTTCCCCTATTGCTTGTCCTCTCACTTCTGCCAGAGGGGCAGGCAAATGTCCGAGACAGAGAGGGACCAAGTTGGGAGTCTCAGTGGAGACTGCAGTGCCAGTGGACCTCCTCAGTACAGGGGAGCAGGGTGGGGCTGGGAGGGAAGACGTGGGAGGGTGGTCAGGACTCAGACCAGCCCTACCCCTGGCCCAGCAGTGCAGGCAGCAGCTGAAGCCAGGAGAAGCTGGAGTGTTCGCAGTCCCTGAGGGCAAGCAGCGCTGCTGGCACCAGGCTTGCTTTGCTTGCCAGGCCTGCAGCCAGGTCCTGACACACCTCATCTACTTCTATCATGATGGGCATCTCTACTGCGGCCGACATCATGCTGAATTGCTGCGGTCGCGCTGCCCAGCTTGCGATCAGGTAGCGCCCCAAGGAGTGTGTGTGTGGGGGGTCTGTCCAGGGCCCGTTGCAGCAGGTGGCAGGCAACACCCACCTGAACAATCTCTCCAGTAAGCGGAGGGAGCACTTAGAACCACATCCTGTTCCCTCCCTCCTGACTTGACCCCTGAGTATGTGGGACTTGCTGCTTTTATCTGTGCTGTCCCCACCACAAACAAAACCTCTCACATTTGGTCTGGGGCTGAGGTTCTTGGACAGGTGCTCACCTCAGTATGCTAGAAGCTCCATGCAGTGCCTGGGCATACTGGAAGACCCTTACGGTCTGCATGAGAGGTGGCGCAGAGCTAGGGTCTAGGATTCAGGAGCAGGGTTCCACCTTTTGGCTGTGCCACCTGCTAGCCCAGGGAACCTGCTGGTTTTGAGGCGGAGTTACCAGATGGATGAATGTGGGAATGAATGAATGAACCGAAATACTCCCTGTCTCTCTCCCAGCTGATCTTCTCCCAGGGCTATACGGAAGCTGAGGGAAGGCACTGGCATGAGAACCACTTCTGCTGCCAGGACTGTGCCGTGCCCCTGGCCGGGGGATGCTATGCCTTACCGGGAGGCAGCCCCTGCTGCCTCAGCTGTTTTGAGAGCCGCTACCCAGACAGGGGCTTGGGTTCACAGCAGGCACCAGAGGGGCCAGGTAAGGAAGTGGAAGACGAGGATCACAGCGTGAGAGGCGGCGGCTGGGGCAGGGCTTGAGGGGCTTCTCCCGGGTAAGGTCTCCTGTCCCTGTCCCCCGCCGGCCTATCCCTCCTGCAGCGGCCCTGGCCTCCCCGCGAACCCCACAACCGCATCTCCTCGGGGGCCCGCGGCTCTCACCGTACTCTGAGGGCCTCTTGAGCCTACCCGGCGATGCTGCTGGCCGCTGGACTCGCTCTGGAGGGGGCAGGGACGCGGCGCCGGAGAGCAAAACAGAGCGCCGGAGACTGAAACCCGCGCTTCTGCCCCCGGCCGGGAACAGGGGTGTCCGGACCCGACCGCAGCGGAGGGAGCGCCGTGGCTCAAATCGCCCGCTGCAGCCCGGTCACTCCTAGAGGGCGAGGCCGCCCGGATGCGTCCCAGGACCCCGAGGAGTGCGCCTCCTGCCCCACCTGCTCCTCGTCGTCGGACTCGGAACCCGAGGGCTTCTTCCTAGGCCAGCGCCTTCCCCGGCCCCGGAAGATCCCCGAAGACAGCGACGCCTCAGGGAAGCGCTGCTCTGTCTGCTAGCGGCTCGGCGGTGGCGGCGGAGGGGCGATCCAGACCAAACGCAGTCGGGGCACCGAACGTCAGCGCCGCGTGTCCCGTGACTTCAGAGACTTTTCGGGTAGCTCCGTTCCCCGAAGCCGCGCTTCCCTGCGGGCCATCACCCACCCCCAGGCTTCCTGCGCGGGAGCCAATGAAATGATTACTGTGCGTGGGTGACGGCCCGGGTCTACGGAGCCGGCAGCCTGGAGGTACCCGGAGGTGGACCACAGGCAAGCGACCCCGAAGCCGGACGGCACTCCTCCCCTCGCAGAGCTCAAGGGCGCGCGGCCGGGATTGGCCTTCTCCGCAGAGCCGCGCTCAGCCGGCGGCGGAAGTGCCGCACCGGAAGTGCGTCGTCTGAGCGCGCCACTGGGGCGTCGCGTGAAGCCTGGAAGGAGGCCGGAGGTGCTGGTATGGCTTCCAGCGGGGTCCCGGTGGGCGCTGCCGGCTCGGCAAACGAAACCCCCGAAATTCCGGACAACGTGGGAGACTGGCTGCGGGGCGTGTACCGCTTTGCCACCGATAGGAATGACTTTCGGAGGTAACCGAGCCCGGGAGCTTGGTCTCCCTGTCCCTCGGATGGACTTCTCCTGTATTCCCCTTCGTGACGAGGCAGGCGTCCCTGAGTGGATGCGTGCGTGTGTCGTGCCAACAGCGTGGACTCTTCCTGGCTCCTGGTGTGCTTTGCTGAGGCTCTTGACCGGGAAAATTCCCTTGTGGCAAAGTCTGTGTCACATAGCTTTAATTTGTGTAGAATGTCGCCCGAACCAGGAGGCCCAGGGGGAGGAGACACCCACGCAAAAAGGTCTTGCAGCGCATAACGAATGCTTATTTGAATGTGGCGTTTGATTCTGCCCTTACTAATTGGGAAAGTTAACTGCAAATTCCCATGTGGGCACTGGGTAACACGCCCAACTGTAACCATTTAAGGTCGCCTCGCAGTGATGTTGGTTGGCGATGGGAAGGCTTTTCCTAGTTTTTTGTATTAGCCATACAAGTGACTCGGTGACCGCGAGGTTAATGAAGTCCATTCTGTGCCCAGGAACTTGATCCTCAATTTGGGACTCTTCGCCGCAGGAGTTTGGCTGGCCAGGAACTTGAGTGACATTGATCTAATGGCACCTCAGCCAGGAGTGTAGCCGTATAGGTAAGCACCGAACCACTTATCCACCTAACCCAGTTCTTGGGGCTGAGAGAAGCAATGATTTGTATCAGTTGTTCTATAAGACGGAGGAAAGATACTTGATATAAAAATTCTTGGCTCTCCTGTGTTTCTAGATATTCAGGGTATTTGAATCTTTCAGCAGTTTCTGATGCCACCTGTTGTCATCTGATTGCAGGCAAGTGAAATTCCTACACTGTAGCCAAACCTCCAAAATGAGGGCCTCCAGTCTGTGACCAGCACGAGATACACTGATGGCAGCTGAAGCTGACTCATGGGGGCCCTTCCTCTTCTCTTCCCTCCTCAGACTGCGTTGTCTGCGTAGCAGCTGGCCACAGCTAGTGTCGCCTCTGTTCTGTAAAGTTCTGTACACAGCCTGTTTCTGTAGGGGGCAGTCATTGCTGTGTCCTAAGGAGCACTAAGGGTGCTTTGACACATATTTGAAATAAAGACTGTACACAAACACAGCATTTTATTCTTTTAATAAGAAACTTCTGCTTACAAAACAAGGTGTAAAAAGTCAAGATTTACAAAAATCATAAAAACATTTATATTTCACACTTGAGAGACAGGAACAAGTGCCAACATAGATTGTAACGGAGGTGGTTTGCCTCGTTGTAAAGGAAGAGAAAAATATAGACACTGGGAGCACCCACACTACACTGACTCTTAATATAACAGGAAGCTTATTCTGAGGAATGTCTGTTGCTGACCAATAAAGGGGAAGAAGCCGTTTGGTGTTGCATAGCATTTCAGTGCACCAGGTGTGTTTTCCAGGCACCAGAGAGGCATTGTTATGGGAAAGAATGAGGCGTGGTGGCAGGAAGGGCCACGTGGGTGGAGTAAGCTGGAAGCAAGCATGCAGCAGGCACTGAAGTGACGCTGCTAAGTAAGCCACCGCTTTCACAAGGAGAAATGTTTCTGACCCTAAAATCTATAGTCATGCCACCTGATGGGCATAGGGCTCTTTGGAAACACAATATTTAAAGAACTGACGTGGAAAGCTCACGTGGCCATAGAGGTGGAAACATAAAAGGTTCTTTGTAATGATTTTTCTTCAGTCAGTGTACTAGCGTGTAGAAATACACTGCTTTTATGGGCCAAGTCTCCTATGGACTATTGTAGCATTAAAGACATGAATCTGTTAAAGCTGGTAAGTATAACTAGACCCAGTAGCTGTGACAGCTGACAGGTGGTGTCTCAATGTATTCACTAAAGGTAAACAGGACAAAACAGTCTTGATCCTTCTGGCATAAATCTGATTAAGCTGACTGAGCGCCAGGGATGTGGTTCGGTGGCAGTGTGTGTTCTGCCTGCACAAGGCCCTGGGTTTGACTCCTAGTAGAAGAAAAGAGTAAAAGCTCTTTGAGAATGATTCTCTTCATATGTTAAAAAAGCACCATTACTCTGAGTTTTTGTTTTTAGAAATAAGGTCTTACTGTATAGTTGGGGCTGGCCTTGAACTCACTGTATAGTCCACGTTGGCCTCAAACTCAGCCATCCTCCTGTGTCAGCCTCTTGAGTGCTGGGATTACAGAGATGTGCCACCCTGCCCTGTTCTGTTGTAAATATCAAAATGCATATCCTGTCTGATAAGAGTAACAAATTTCGAACTTTAGCCTTGGGGTTGGCTTCATATGGAAACCAAGACCCTTTAGAGTCTGTGCTCTGGGACCACAGATATCTGCAAAGGTTGTGTGATAACTGATCATTAAGATGAAGAATAAGGGGCTGGGGAGGTGGCTCAGTGAGTAAGCACTTCCCTGGCAAGTGCAAGGGTCTGAGTTCAATCCCCAGTTCTGCAAAAAAAAAAAAAGAAAGAAAGAAAGAAAAGATGAAGAATAATGCATGAGAGCAAACTTAGGATTTTTTTATTTGTTTTGTTTTTTGTTCTGGGGATTGAATTCAGGACCTTGCGTTTTCCAGGCAGGTGCTTATGCCATGGAGCTATCTCCCTGGCCCAAAGCTTAGATTTAAAGCCATCGCAACCAAGGTAGTAACCAGGAAGATAAATTAATTATTATTATTTTTTTCATTTTCAGGAAGAGATTTTTTGTTTGTTTTTGGCGGAACTGGGGATTGAACTCAGGCCCTTGCACTTGCCAGGCAAGCGCTTATTCTACTGAGCCATCTCCCCAGCCCCTCAGGAAGAGATTTTTAAGCCATCATATAGATCTAAACCCCAGCTAGCTGGTATGAGAGGCCATTGCTAAGACCCAAAATACCAGCAGCTCCTGGTCCTTATAGGAATGGGTTATATCTAGTCTCCTACCTGATGTCATAATTGTGTATGGTTCTGGTTGATTAAAAATTTCCAAAGTTGAAAATCAAAATCCAGCAAGAATTAAGACATGAGGGCTGGCCAGATAGCTCAGTGGATTAAAGCGCCTTTTTAGGCAGATGCAGGGGCTGGAGGTTCAATTCCACAGCCTGCTGTGCCAGCCCCGGGGGGTGCATTGAGACAGTGATTGAGACTGGGCATGATGGTGCATGCCCGTAATCCCAGCACTTGGGAGGATGAAAAACAGATCACTACAAGCCGGATTTGTGTAGTGAGATCCTGTGCTAAGTACATAATATGAAAATAAAAGAATTAAGACATGGCAATAGAGGTCAGGGAGATGGCTCAGTAGAATAAGCACTTCCCTGGCAAGCGCAAGGGCCTGAGTTCAATCCCCGGTTCTGCAAAAAACCCAAACCAAACCACAAAAAAAAAGATAATTTCCAAAGGTATAATTTAAACTTCATCCAAAAATTGTTTATTTATTGGGGGCTGGGGAGATGCTCAGTAGAATAAGCGCTTCCCTGGCAAGTACAAGGGCCTGAGTTCAATCCCTGGTTCCTGCCCAAAAAAACCCAAAAAAATAAATAAATAAATAAACAAAATATTTATTTAGTTAGTTTTGAGACAGGGTCTCATTAGGTAGCCCAGGCTGGCCTCAAATTTACGGCGATTCTGCTTCAGCCTCCCCAAGTGCTGAGATTATATAAAAATGTAATGTTTAGTGTCAAGTACTTGTATTTACTGTTCGATAGTTTTTAAAACCATAATACTAGTTAGGAAAAGTTTCATCTAAATTGGTTTACTTCCTCAGAGTGCTAACAATTTAGTAAATAAAGCAACCAAGTCTTTTTTTTTTTGTCAGAACTGGGGATTGAATTTAGGCCCTTGTGCTTGCCAGGGAAGCACTTACTCTACTGAGCCATCTCCCCCCCCCCCTTTTTTGTTTGTTTTGAGAGACAGGGTTTCACTGTGGAGGACAGTAATTCTGTGGATGAAAGTGCTGGCTTTCATCTTTGCGAATACAACATTTTAAAGGAATTTCATTTTACACCCTCCCCACCCCCCCACCCCCCGGGATTGAACTCAGACCTTATACTTGCTAGGCAGGCAGTTAATGCTACTGATCTATCCCACCCCCCGCCCCCCCCCGGCCCTGGGAGGTCCATGTTAAATCCTGTTACACTTTTTAGCCCTAGCTCATTAACACAAAATCCTCCAAAAAATTTCTGGCTAGTTGGGTTTTATTTTTTAAACTTGTTTGTGTGTATAATGCTGGGCACTGAACAAGGGCCTCACGAATGCTAAGCAAGCACTCTACCACTGAGCTACATTCCCCCAGCGCACTGTGTTTGAATGAAATACACCAACAGAAGTATGGAAAAAGTCCACAAAACTGACAGCTTACTTCAATGCTGCAGTAGCTACAATGCAATTAGAATGATTGTAGGTTAAAGGAGTACATAAAGGTTAAAGTCACAGCCCTAGACCAAGGAATGGTCATTAAACGTATAAGGTACAAAGCTCACGGTCCTATTTAGAAGGCGCTTTCTTAGTGCTGATTTTGAAAAGAATCTGAACCACCTAGCATACTTACTGGGTAAAAAATTAAGTGGCCATGAGAAGTTTTACTCCAGGGATGGAACTCTCCACTTAGTGGCCAGTAACCAGGCTGAGAGGCTCAGTGATCATGTGTGCTTAGAAAATGAACTTTGGTGTGAAGTCTTATGAGTTCAGTGGAAACTTTATGCTTGGATGGCCATTCAGACCAGCCCAGTCAGTGCCAGACTTGGGACGGGGCATGGAGAGCTGGCCAGGGGCTTCTCCTTTCTGTCATTTCTTTTGCATTTTACACAGCACACTGGCTTGCCTTACAATGGGAAGGTTCACATAGAGGGGGCTGACTCCACACTGCCTCCTGATACTCTGTGCAAAAGAACTTAGAGCCAATGAGAGGACCACATCAGGAGGGACCACGTTGACTTCACTGTAAGTTGCCTAGCGTCAGTTGTTTTGAAAAACTAAAAGGCCTTTTTGGTCATTTGTGCTCTCCAACTGGCCGGAAAAGCAACCCTTTCACTCCTAAGCTAGAACCCTAGACAGGGACACAGTGCACATTAGGAAGGGGCAGCCTTCCTGCCTGATGTGAAAAGGCCAGCATGAATGCTTGGAACATACGGGGGAGGGGAACAGCAGCAGGGCGCAGTCTGCCTTGAAATCCATTTGATGAGTAACCACAAGTAGACAATCTGGACACTACAAGAACATTTCAGAACTTGCTGGTAAGAATTAATTTGCACTCACACACAAGATACGAAATGCTTTAAAAAGTCTGTGATACCACATGTCCTTTAAACACTACGTAGACCCATTTGCAACTTGAAATGACAAGAAGGAATGCTTTCCCTTAATCTTTTCAATCTCATGCAAACCATAATTGGATACAAGGCACCAAATTGTATGAATTGTATAAAATTAGTTCACAAAGCTTTATCAATAAAACAAACTCCCTTTCTCCATCCTTGGCTACCCCCCACCCCTATCCCACCCCCCACCCCCACCCAAGTTTTCCTTCCACACTACTGTCACTTTTCTTGGGCTCATGCTAGGGGACACCCCACTGCTAGCCAAGCCACCACATGGGTCCTTCCTTTGTACTTGGATGGAGCTGCAAGCACAGCCAGAGCAAGGAACTGATACAATCATTGACTCTAGAAGCCTCGCAGTTAAAAACAAAAATAAACTCTGCTATTGAGTCCATAGGACACATTAACACTTGTACAGTTTCTACTTTTATTCATGACATTTGAAGAGATGCCTGGAAATTGTTCACAGTGCAGCGCCGTCCCTGCCCCAGCCCAGGAAGGGCTGACCCAAGAGCTTCACTGCTACTGCCAAGGGCGTGCCCCACAGTACTCACGCTAGCTAGCGCGGGGGCTGCTGGCACGCAAGCACTGGTCTGAGGGTTGGGCTGGACTGAGGTAAGAAATTTTTCTGAGGGCCAGGGTGCATTCATCTCAGCTCCTGAGGGCAAAAAGTAAACACACCAGCCAATGGCCAAGGGTTTCTAGAGCAGGACTTTCACTACCCACCCTGGGAGAGAAGCAGGCCCCTGAAAATTCAGCAGATGATCTTGAGCTTCATTTGGCAGCAGCTAATCAACTTGTACCTGTTCTGGTTTTTTCTTCTCTTTAGAATGTTTCAATATAAGATGCAACAGAGACATTCATCTACTTCAATGTGTAAATAAAGGCAATGGGATATTTTCCTCACAAAAGCCACTGTTTCAAGCAGTGCGCAACAACTCTTCTGTTATAAAAATCTTCCTAAGTGCTCACTTAATAGCAACATCCAGTGCTGTGGCTTCTGGTACCTGAGGTCCGGGCTGCAGGGGCCACCTTCACTAGGTGTAATCAGGGAACTCTGATGCTGGTATCTGTTCTAACTCATTATAAATGGTTTTATCAATTTCACACAGGGGTGCTCTGGTGTATTAAGCCCTTACTTTACAAAATTCCTAACCTGCTTAATAATCCTTATAGTATTTGGCATAAATCGCTCTTAAAAATTAAATTTGAAGATCTTTTAGTTACTATGTTTTTATGGTAAGTGTTTCCCCCTGGGCAGCTGCAGGGGCGAGGTACTCTATTGGTGCTTGTCTTGGAGGTTCTCGTTCTAGAATTATAAACAGGATTCATGATGAGGCACAATCTGCACTTTCCTTCCACTCCTCTCATGTTCATGGGCTCTCCCAGCACAAGTCACTAGCCAAAGCCACCTAGAAACGTGGCAGGAGTGCAGGCAGCTGTGACACTTTGTAACAGTGTCCAGGAGAGGGCGCTCCTAGGCAGCACTTATATAAAGAAGCCTGCAGCAGACAATATAAACCCAGCAGCATAAAAATGCCATACGCTATCGCTTCCAAACAAAAGCTAACATTATAGAAACCTCACAGTGTTGGAGAAAGCAAGTTTAATTTAAAACACAGTCACTCCTTCCCTATCAGGGTGAGCCATTTTCTGTATGAATTTCCTCCATGCCTGAGTGCTGTCTGGCAGGTCCCATGGCAGAGTTCATCGCAAAAGAGGTCAACAGCAAATGCTACAATCTGTTAGGGAAATGTGGCTCGTTAGCACTGCCAGAGCTATAACCCTCATTCACTAGCCTCACTTCCCCATGGCCCAGCCCTCCCGAGCTCCCTTTCACGCCTGCTTCCATCTGAACCCAGATATTAAGGTATCCATCCTTCCAAGGGCAGCCGGTTTGCTGCAGCACACTGTAGTGATGCAGGAGCTGGTCTCACCATCCCCAGCGAGGCCAGAAGAGAGGGGAGGCTGGAGCCTGCTGGCAAGGAAGGTTTGGTCTGGGAAACCTCGCTCCGCTCAGAATGGACCCAATTTAAAAAGGGATTTTACTAGCACTGAGCACAGGGTGGGCCAGCTTGTTTCTTTTCTGAGGCACTGAGGACAGGTGAGCACCACACAGTAGGGAGGAGAAGCTTTGGGAAGCAAATAGGCCAGCGCCATCAGCAACGAGGTGAACACTGCGTAGCTTGCTAAGCAATTTCCACATCCCTAATCCTAGAGCACCAGTGTTCTCACTCTCAGGTGTAAGCAGGAACTGCTGTGCTGGAGAAGAAGCTGCACGCACACACCAAGTGGAAACTGGCATAGGCGTGGGGAGGGGCTGGCCCGCCCTCTGCACTCTCTGAAAGCCTCAGACAGCTGATTTCCAGACAGGTGAAATCAGGACCTGGAGCATGCTCTAGACCTGAGCCAGGGACCTGCTGCAGGTGACTTTGGGCTCAGTGTGCGATAAAGCCCTTCAACTCCTTCTATGAACTGTCGTGGTGGGGAGCAATTGATGACAGCAGCAGTGGGCAGGATATGACATGCAAAAACCTTTGCTTTGCATCTTTCCCTCCACTTAATTGCTAGACCCAAGAGAATCGCCCTGCAAGTTCTCAACCCTTGAAGGATACTTCTTTTGTGGGAATAAACCCTTCTGCTTTGCCTCCCACCTTGGCACCAACCCCCTGTAGCACCCTGCCTGCCGGGCCCCACCTCAAGGGCTCTCCTTCTGCATTACAGGCAGGGCCTGAGTAGCAGGGGACTCACAGAAGGGAGAGAAGCCCTGCAGTCTTCCCGGCTGGATGATAACTTACCCCTCTTTTCTCCACCCGGGTCCCTCTCTATTCAGAAGCAACTGATGAAATGCTCTTCACAGAAGTCACTCCTTGTGTTTCAGGAAAGGAGGACATTTCCAAATGCATTCAAAAGCAAGTGACTACGAATATTCTTGCAGGACATGAGTCACCTGGCACCTTCTACTCTAGACCCAGTGTGGCAAACCTAGCAATCTGTTCCTGCAGTAACCTTTATGTCCTATGCAAGGACAGATAAATGGACACCAACACATAGACAGCCAGCCAGTCTGTGATGCTGCCTTGGCTCAGGGGAGGCTCTGAGGTCGGCCTTCATCCTTGTTGCTGGGCTGCACCTGAGCTCGGAGATGGGTTTCTGAGAATCTTGAATTGCCCTGCACTGTTCTTTGAGTGTAAAAAAGTATGTAGGCCTGGGTTTTGCACACCTCCTCGACACTGCATACATTCAGCTTTGAGTCATTGCAGTGGACCCAAAAACCTAGGAGATCAAAGGAGAGAAAGAGAAAATGACTACCCGATGCACATTTCCAGTTGGATACAGAACCAGGAGTACAGAAAGGCACAGAGGCCCCTTTGATTCCTGAGGGCAAGGAAAGGGACAGGTGACTGGAACCAGGCTTCTTGTAACCACAGACTCTAATCCCACCACACCCAACGCCAATGCTTATGGGCTAATTTTTGTCTCATTTTACTCAGGCTTTCCATTGTCTACGAGAGCCTTCTACAGAGCTAGCCAGGAAACGGGGCACTAAGCAATGGGAAAGGAGGAGAGGAACAGAAATGGAAGGGTACAGGAAACATTCTGCAGATGAAAGAATCTGTTTCCAACTGAGGGGCTCAGGAGGGGATGACATGCTGCCCACTTGCCTACCTCCCCTACGGGGCAGGAGCTGGAAGGTCCACCTGGGGACCCTTACATCCCCTTACTTCCCTGGGTACATGAGGTAGTGAGGACACAGGAAATTCCTGGCCATGTCCCCACCTTTATTATGAGTGAGGCTCGGTGAGAGTCACAGCATAGCTGCATGAAGTTACACAGGTTCCACTGCTTATGTATAACTGAGCTGAGATCTGCAGGAGTAGCGTTACCAGAGTGACCGTAACAATAACCAGCACTATGGGTACCACTGTAATAACCCAACACCGGCCAAGTGAGCATAGTGTGCTCGGCACTGCCCCAAGCACTTCTACCTGTGTCAGCTCCTTTGCATCCTTAGAACAAGTTCATGTCGGTAGGTGGCACACATCCAAAATATGAAGTCAACTTTCACAATTCTTTCCACTGGGCTTTACTGTATGTAATTCCCCCCGGTGGCCCATGGAATGGAAATAAAAGGAAAGCAATCGAATGTGGACAGACCAACCCTCTTCCGTGTCCCCACCCCACAGAGCAAAGCGCACGCACCTCCCTCTGTGTTGTAGCAATAGGCTGTGTAGTGTCCTGAGCCAAACCCTTTCCCGTGATGCATGACCACTGCGGAGAGATCATAGGCAAAGGTCTCTTTGTCAAGAGAGGAGAGCATGTCCCTGCAGCAGTAAGGTTCCATGGTTAATACCTGCTCAAAGGCGACATGGACCCCAATCTTCTCACGGTGATTACGGCCAGACCACCTAGAACATGGGTACAAACTTCTTACTAGTGAAAACTGGCATGCGCGGTTGGGGAGAGTGAGGCATAATGGAGAGCTTCTGGCTTGCCTTGCCATCAAACTCTGGTAGTCATCAACATCCACACAGATTTGCTGTGACTCTGAACCTAGAGATGGCTTAACAGGCAACTCAGGCACCAATCTTTTCAGAGTTTGCTGCTTGCTTTTTTCCCACATTACTGTATACTTCATCCTAAAGAAGGATCCATATTAGCCCAAGCAAGGCCAGCAGACAACAGCACAGGCCAGGCAAAGGAATGTAGAAGCCAGCGTGCCTTGTAGGGCAGGAACTGCCCACTCTCAAGGGAATGGGCTTGTCCTCCCAGCACCAAAGGAAACACGTGCCCTCTCCAAGCCTTAGCGGCAACCCCCCACCGCTCACAGCCCAGGGACTCCCGCGCATGCTCACCTGAATCTCTTAAGGTGCAGCCGGAGGACCTGAGGTAGTGTGTAGATCATTAACTGCTTTCGAGCTTCGCTCAGAACGAGGGGCTTGGGGTTGGATTTTCGCCGCTTGCCTATATGGTTTGGGAAGCACAAGACAGAGGTTGAGAGGAGTCGCACTCTTTCTCTGAGCTGGCAGACAATGACTTGCAGCTCAATATGCATCCCCTCCTGTCTCAGGACTTAAACCTCAATGCTACTGAGGGCAGTAATGTGACCCAGCCTCACAAGCCTGCACGGTGTGGTTCTGGCATTCTGGCTAGGATGAAAGGGTTGACTGTGTGACCTCTTGGGCTGGCTGCTGAAAGAAAAGAGCTGACTCAAGGACATAACAGGCACTGCAACAGTGTGACAGAGTTGACACTGAGTATACAAGAGTTGTCCTTTTGTCCTCCTCACAGTTTGGTACAATTTCTATGGGGCCCTGAAGTTACGTCAAGGATGGAGGCCTTGCACACAGTTTAACCAAACAGAAGAGAGGAGCTTGGGTCCCTGCTGACCATGTGGCCATGGGCTAGCTCCTGACTTCTTTTACCTAACAGAAAAATAAAATGTCACTTCATTTGAAGCCATTGATCCTTTGGTGATATCATAAGCAACCAGACCTAATCTGGATATATCTCCTTTCAAATTTTTGCCAACAGCAACTTCATGACTGGTCTGACTTCAGAGTGGCAGATTCCAGAAGCCGTGGATTTACTAACGGGACATAACAAATGGTCACTGCAACACTGTTACACAGTTGAATGTACCAAGGTTGTATGCTTTTCTACACTGATAGCTAGACTTGTGATGCATTGTAATTTTATTTTATTGTTTGTTTATTTATTTGGTACAAGGTCTCTCTACACAGCTTAGACTCATAGTGATCCTCCTGTCTCATCCTCCCCCACGCTGGGATTATAGGCATGTGCCTCCACACCTGGTTTCAGTGGCCAGCACAGTGTGCCTGGGGTTTCAGGGCTGGCGTGGCATGCGGTACAGGGATTGAACCTGGGTCCCTGTGCTTGCCAGGCAGGTGCTTAGACCGCCGATCTAGCTCCCCAGCCCTGCACTATAACTTTAAAAGGCTTTCTGTTTTCACTAGATAGGTCTAACTCAACTTCCTGCTCATAGGAGGCTGTGTATTAACAAAGCTCTGAGCCTCAGTTTCCTCACTAGTAAAATGGGGAATGCTACATATAGCTGAGGCTTAGGAAAAAGACAAAAAGGAAGATTACCAAAGGACAGAATATTTAAAACAGATTTTTTTCAGCATGATTTGAGCATGGTATACACCACTTAGAGCAGGATGGCTTCTCCTCCACCGAGACCAGGACAGCAACAGGTCGACACAGTTAGCAGGCCCCTCATTTTTTATTTGCACCCCTGTGTCTCTGTAATCTCAGTAAACACTCTAGGCTAGGCTTCTGGTGGAAATTAACAGGATGTTATTTCAATTGCTGATGTGCTAGAAATTTAGAAATGCAGGACCAGGGATATAGCTCAGTGGCACAAGTGCCTGCCCAGCAAGTGCATGGTCCTGAGTGGTTCTGTGATTTTATGCCATACCTAGTTTTGAAATAGCTCTTAGGTAGAGGCACAGTACCAGCCATCAGGACAAGGCTGGGAGGCCAGCTAAGGTCACCCAGCCCAATCCAGAACCACTGCTCTGGCTCTGAGTTTGTTTCTAAAGCAACATATTTCTCTCTCTCTCTCTCTCTCT